TTGTGGTCTGTATTCAAACATTGTCTGATATCTGTTATGGATGAGGCTTTGCATAGTTCTCTCAAGTCCTCCGAGAGTTATATCATGTCTATTCTGCTTTTTGATTCTTTGCCCCATGTGTATTTACTTATATTCTTGTTATGTTGTCTGAAAGTGTCATATAGATCGAATTCCCTGAGCATTTCAATTCATTTCTTCTTTTCCTTTGGTTCGTTTACCCCTGTTCTGTCCATGTTGTCCTTTATTGTTGTATTCATATCTCCTATTACTATTATTCCCATTACTTGTTTTTTTCTCCATTCTGTCATGATTTCTCTCATTTCTGCTATCGTCTCTTTTCTTTCCTGGCTTAATTGTGGTAATACATGTACCTGTATCACTCCTATTTTCCATCTCTCTTTAAAGTCTAGTTCCATGGCCAAAATTCTTCCCTGCCATCTTGTTATTTTCCCTATGTGTTTGCCCAGTAAGTCTTGTATTTTTTGTCTCCCATTGTTTCCCTGTTAGTTGTTGTTTTGAATTTTGTATCGGATATCCCTATTATATTTATATTGTTTTTGTGATAGTAATGTTGTAATTGCTGTTTCTTAAACTCTTCATTCAAGCCATTCATGTTTATTGTCGTAATTTTGATGTTTTCTGTGTCAGTTCTTTTTTCTTTGTATATGTTGATATTTTTTGGATTATTATGTTTATCCTTATGGTGTGCTGTCATACTTGATTGGATTTGTTATTGGGCCTCGCGTTTCCTACTGTCTTTCATGTTGTTACCTTTTTTTACTAGGTGGTAGCTGACCATTTTCCAAAAGTTTGCTTAGCATTTTTCCCATCTGTTCCATTTGCCTTTCTAGTTTGTTTTGTCTTTCTGCCGCCTCCTTGTTGATTGCCTTGTATGTTGCCAGAGGGGTTTCTTTCTCTTCCCTGCCCATTTCTTCTGCATCTTGATATTGCATTTGTTACTCATCTGTACTCTTATTGTTGGTTCAAGAAAATTTAGCAAAACTTTAAAAATAAATAATTTTTAATTAATAAAATAAAATATTAAAAACAAAATATTATAAAAATATCTTCAAAACACTTTGTATATCTTAATACAATTCAAAATAATAGGTATTTTGACTCATTTGAATTTTTATTAGACTCATTACTAGAGTTTATAGTTAAAATACATTTTCTAATATGCTTTGTATAAAAGAAATGTCTTAAAAAAATATATTAACAAAATTGACATTTGTAATTTATTTAAAGTCTCTAAAGGAATCTAGAAAATGTATAAAATTAATTTATAAAATATTAATTAATTTTGACCAATCAAAAATTTAATTTATAAGTTGTAATAATTATGTAAACAAAATAATTTTATTTTTATATAATAACTTAATAATTTATATTTATAAAATAATTTTTAAAAAGTAATAATAAAAAGTTTTTATTTATAATATAACATAATTTCTTGGAATTTGTATTATATAAGGTCTCTAAAGTTCTTAATTTTTCTTTAATATTAAACAAAAAACAAAAAATGTATAAAATATTTCAAAAACTTATTTCTGGTTTTGTTAAAAAAGAAAAAAAAAAGTCAAGAAAGTACTTTAAAGTCCTTTAAAAAGGAAAAGAATACTCAGGTAACTTTAAGGTCAGCTAATAAACAAAAACTCTTAACTTCTATCAAAATTGAATTAAAAATATCTCAAGAGTAAATAAGATTTCCTGGATATACATGTATTTTCAAATATTCTTTTGATATATCAGTATAGAAAATGTTTAAAGAAACTTCAAGTATATTTAAAAATTTGTTATAATTTAAAATAAATACTAACTTATATATTTAGTTCTAATAGAAGCATTAAAAGAATTAATAAGTTTTACAAAAACCTTCATAAAAAAATTAATCAATTAGAAAATAAGATTACCTGTCTAGAAATTAAATTCACACAAGTCAATATTTAATTATCAAATATGATTTTATCAAGATAAGGTTTATTTTAAATTTTTTCAAAGATTTTTAGAAATTTATATTTTATTTAAATAGCATGTGATCAAGAGTATTATGAAACAATTATTTTTTGAAAAAATATATTCAAAAGCTAAAAATTTTTGTTAAATAATTAAAGAATTTTTTCAATAAGAATATTTAGAGTTTTACAAAGGCTTCATAAGAAAATACTAAAAAACATATAAAAATTTTATTTGCCAATTGATAATTTTTATAAATATTAATAATTTTAATTCTTTAATTATTTAATAATTTATTGTTTTAAAAGATTGTGAAATAGTATCAATCATTTTATAAGACTATAACTTTGAAAGTTCATAATGCCATGTTTTTAGTTTTTGGCAAAAAATATTTGGATACAATAAATACAAATGCAATTTCCACCAAAATTTTAATCTGAAAACAATTTCAGAAAACTGTCAAATGTTTTAAAAACTTTTACTTTAATTGTTCAGAGAAAAGAAATAAAATATAATGATCTGTATTCTTGAAAAAGTTTAATCAAAAGGAGATGCTTTCAATGAACAAATGGTATTTACTATTGCAGTATGCCAAACAGTTTTTAATTCAAATAATAAAAGTATTTCAATAAATAAAATATTAATTAAAAGCAAAATAATAAATAATAAAATTAGTTTTAAAAATCTTCAAAGTATTATAAATCATTGTTAATAATATTTTTAGAAAAGAATTAAAAAAGAACTTAAATTTAAGGAAAGTTTAAGTAGTGAAGATAAAAAAATGATTAATTCAGTAATTATTACTAGGGTCCGAAAAGGTATCGAACTGGTATCGAAATGGTACTGATCTATAGTAAATTTAATATATGGGTTGTGACCTACTCCTATGTTTTTATAGTAAATTTAAGTATTGAACTGATATCGAAGTGATATTGAAGTGGTATCGTTAAAAGCCCTAATTATTACTATAGAAGAATCTTCAAAGATTTATGAAAAAACTAAAAATAATTTAGTATCACTACTAAAAAATAGAGAATTAAAAAAAAGAACTTCAGCAATAAATAAAAACTTAAACAAATAAAAAATATATAAAAAGAATTATATAATAATAAAAATTATAATAAAAAATTATATAATTATAAAAATAATTTTATAAGCCAATTAAATATTTAAATTGAATATTATTTAATTATAATATGTAAATATAAATATATTTTATTCCTATTAAAATATATCAAAGATTTTTATAAATTAATATATAAATTTTTGCTATAGAGTTTTTTAATGACAATAGAAATTTTTTAGAGATCTTTGTTTAAAAATTTTCCTAATAAATGATAAAAAATAACTATCAAGAAAACATATTATTAATATTATTATATATCTTAATTTGTAATTTGGTCATTTCAAAAAATACTATTATACTTCAGAAGAATAGAATCATTATAATAATATTAGATATTATTATTATTATTATTATTATTTTAAACAGATGGTTTAAACTTTATTCAAATTATAGTAAATATATATTAATTTCCTTGTTGATACTTGATGCACCTAAAGGCTAACTAATTTAAATTTATGGCTTAATTTGAATATCACTAAGAACTATATTCTACCACGAGGCTTATCATTGATTTCTAAAAAAAATTATTTGTGAACCAATTTTTTTATATCTTTCAACCTCAAATTTATAAACTTTTTCATTAAGATTCCTCAACACTTAATGAATTACACATCGGAATACTGTGTCTCTATTCTTTTCAAGAGGAAGGGGAAAGACTTCTTATTCATCAACTTTTAAGACCACAATAAAGAAAAGTGGTTTCAGTGCCTAACTTTATTGGTTCTATTCCAATTGCCCAAGGCTCCAGATTCAATTGTAGATGACATGATTTTAGTCACTTATTTTTTGTACCCAAGAAAATAGAGTTTCATCATGGTTTAAATATAATTAATTCTTTTATACACTAATGAAAACCTTATACTGTTGTTTTTGCTAACATCTTGAAATATTTCCTTATATTGGTGGCTGCCTGAGGAATTATAACTTGAAAAGCAGATGGAATCTAGGTCTAACCAATACCTTAAAACCTATAGTGGGATTGATGATCCAATTCTTTAGATAATGTCTTACTTCAAGCATAGGTTGCTTATTTAAAAAGACACAACTCTTTCAAAGTAATACTATATCTTAAGGAGAGTCTTTTATTCTGGCAAACATTACCAACTGAGTACCTTCACTAGAGATAAGAATGATGAATATCACTGATAAGCTTAACAACTCTTTTAGCAAGGAGGGTCATGTTGAAGATCTTGTTAAGTGGTTTACAGTTTGTGGTCCTTCACAAACCATAAATCAGAACAAAAAAATCCTATAAGGAAAAATATTCTGTCCATCTTGTTTATATTTATATATATGTGAAAGATTAAAAGAAAAAGAAAAAAGAGGAAAAAGTAAAAGGAGTATATATCCAAACCCAACTATATCAAAACAGATATCTTATTACCTTGCTCTTCCTATCTAAAATAATGACATTATCAAAGTTATATAATACAGATAGGAACATGTTTTTGTTTTGTTTATCTGTTACATGTTTATTGTTGTCAAATCCAGATTTTCAGCCAATGAAAACCCAGCAGATCCAGTGTAACCAAAAAATTTAGGGTCAAACTGAGGTATGCAAAATTCTCCAGAAAACTAAAAAATTTTGAAAATACACTAGAAAGGTAGCTGTACTAATGTTGTGAAGGTTTCTGGAGATCAAGATATCTAACAATCTTTTAGGTCATCTTTTCTGATAAAGATACTGATATCATAATAGTGAAAAGAAAGAAGGAAACTAAATAAACTGTCTTCTTCCCTAGAAAACTCTTTTTTGCCATCAGAACTTGGATTAGTAAAAACTAAGGAGCCTTCTTGTTTTTACTTTGTTAAAGGGATAAATAAAACAGTGAAGGATATATGAGTATCTTGTTAAGGTCTGTCAAGTTGTATTAAGGAGAGTATATGGGTTTTGTTAAAAGTAAAGATATGTTTTAGTCTGAATGCTATTTTGGAGTGTTGTTTAGAGAATCAGTGAGAAGAGTCTCTCGAATATTAAATATTATTTATATTATAATTAATTTTTTTATTATTTTCTTTTTGTTTAGTATTTTTCTATTTTACTTTTATGTTTTTTTTATGTTTTTTTTTTTAATCCCGCAATCAGGTTGGTGTCGTTTATTTATTAAATCATAGAAAACCATTATATGTATGAGAATACATGCAAAGTACAAATTTTCCCAACCCAACTCACTCGTCTTTAGCTGAAGCCTCTAGATGCAATTTATGGGGATGATATATTGTTTCTCTAAAGAATGGGATTAAAATTCCAAACTTCCGATAGGATCAGCGCCTGCAGATCACCTCCACAGTCACAACCATAAATCCAAATTGTGTCACCCCCTCTTGTAGAAACTATGCAAGAAGAAAAAGGAATAAAAAAAGAAATTTTTTAACAAAGAGAAAAGAAAAAAAGCTATCATCTATTCTATCATTGAAAAGGTTATCTCAATAAACTTAAAACCCAAGCCCCTCATGGTTTTCTACTTCTCACTACTGTAGTAGAATAGATAACTTAGTTTTATTTTTACTTATTTTTATCGAATTATTATTAGTTTATTTTTAGCAGTAGCATTTATTATTTTATTATAGTATAAA